CCCCCCCCCCCCCCCCCCAACGTTGTTTGATGATTGATTAGTCCTATACATCTTTTTTGGCATCACAATTAATTTTTTATAACTCAAGATCTCTCACCAACCGAACCCATTTAATTCCGTGGCTAATAGTCAATTTGGGCTCACGTGAAAAACCTCCTTTCCACGTGTAGGGGTTAAATCTTAAAAAACTAACTCTAAAGAACATTTTCACATTATAGAATATTGAACTCTTGACCAATGTTAACTTAAGGCATCACAATTATATTTATTAAAATTATATTTAATAATTTTTAAACATAGAAGATTGAAAATCGATATACTCATAAACAAAAAAATAATAATTAAAACGTTTTATCAATAATGCGACTAATTATTATTATTTATAATTGATCCTGACATGTTTTTTATTATTTGAAAGAGTTACAAATTAATTTTATCAATAATATTTATTTTATATATAAAATCGGGACAACAATCTTCTATTTATGATTCTATATTTTATTACATAACGACACACATTTTTATACAATAACGAAATAACCCTACAATTTAAAAAAAATTATAAAATAACATCAATATGTTCAAAACATATTCGAACATGTCTAAAAATTAATAATTATATTAGTTGTACCTAATTTGAGATTTAATTAGTGGAGACTCAATGATTTGTGACTATTGGATAGATAATAAAATTTATTAAATATTAAAACTCACTATTTTACTTAATTTTATAATGTATTAGTTCTTTAAATTAGATTTCAATAACATTGTTCAAAAAGTTAACAATTATTTAAGTAAGAGTCTATTCAAATCAATATCACTAAAATACAGTATTATGGTGAGTATAATTAAATATATCTAAATTTTATTTCAAAAAATGTAAAGCAAAAAACAAAAATTGAAAGAGTACATGTGCCCACCCTACCCCAAGGGTGACTCCGCCCCTGCTCTCTGGAAGTAACGTTTAACCTCGAATGCTAAAATCTACAACAATCCAAACACAAATTCCCCAACCGTCATTATTGAAACAAACGAAGCAAATGATTGACTCGTCGTATTATCCGAATAAGGAGAAAATACCAATGATATTGGTTTGTTTGGGCCTAAGGCCCATCCATACCGAAGGCACCTTCACCTTTTGATCGAAGTAGTGTTAAAGGTTCTTGGTATCAAGTGGGGTTCTCCATGGGGACGAGCTTTATGGGCAACAATAAGCACTTAATGGTGGACAAGCTTGATCTCATGGCGTCGACATAGCCTGGTACTGTGGCTGCTAATTTTTTTTTTTTGAGTTACTTGAGTTTGACTCATTTTTAGTTCGTTTAAATTTGACTCGTTTTTTAAACAAGTCAAATTTCAATAAAGTTTTAGGCTCATTTGAAAAACAAGACTGAAAGGTTCGACTCGTTTATTTGTAAATACTAAGACTCGGTTCAGGTTCATTTTGTTTTGGACTCTTTCAGGCTCGGGCTTGTTTTCTATACGTGCCGAATTTAAATAATTTTTAAAATTCAATTAAGAAAATAATTTTTTTAGACTCAACTTGAACTCGTTTGAGCTCGTTCAACTCAATCCTACTTAGAACTACGTGACATGGCACCTTCGGCCCATTTTCCTAGCCCATTGCACCACCAACACCCTTTTATAGAAGGTAGTGAAAATTGGGGTTCAATTCTCTGTAATAAGGGACTTTTAATGAGTTTAATCTGTCAAATAGTTAATTTTATTATTATTTTTAAACTCTAAAATACCCTTCCTTGAAAATAGTGTTAAATTAATTTCCTAACTAGGAAATTATTACCCTTTAATTTACATTGAATGAATATCTGTTAGAAAGATTTTTGTCTATAAAATTTAAAATTCAAATTTCAAAGAATCTAGTTGGGCTACTCTCTCTCTCTCTCTCGTTGGGTTCTCTTGGAACTAGTCTTGTTGAGAGTTTATGTTTTGATCAAACTGAGAATCAAAGTCCACCACAATGGCCGAAGAAACTCATAAAACTGCATATGAAGCACCACCAAAAACTGAGGAAGTGATGGTTGTTTCCAATGTACGAGAGGTGGAGAAACCCTCCACCACTACCATGGAGAAAGAAGCACCACCACATCCTGAGCCAAAGCTGGAGAAACCCGCCAACGTGGAAGAAGTAGTCGAGGTCGAAAAAGAGAAAGGAGAAGAGAAGATCACTGAATCAGCTTTGTTTAAAGAAGAAAGCAACGTGGTGGGTGAACTTCCTGACCCAGAAAAGAAGGTCCAGGATAAGCTCAAAGCACTGGTTTAGAAGTTGGTTCCTACAATATCATTTGAGGTCAACATCTCCGTGATGCCCCCAAAAGCGTTCAGGCAAATGTGTTACTATTACTATTTTTTTATTTCGTATATTACAAATGTTAATTTTTTATATATTTTTTTAATTTTTTATGTTACTATATTTTATTTGAATGTTACAATTTTGTCTCATACATACATATATGTGTGGGTGCGTGGGTGATTGTGGGTGTGTGTAAGTGTGTGTGAGAGAAAGATAAAATAGTTTTAATCTATATATTGATATACATAGATATGACCAACAATGTACGACGTGTATTGCACATGAATAAATTTAAATATTTTTTTATGAAAAACGTGAATTATATGTGTAATTAAATTAAATAACAAATTAAGTACTGAATAATTAATCTGAATTTTAATTATTAAGATATCTCTTCAATTAAAAAAAAAGATATCTCTTCAATCCCTTTAGGCATTTGCGTATCGAATTATATTACAGAATTATTATCACATATAATATTATTATATTATTATATACCAAAAAATAAAATATATTTGACCATGAAATTCAATCTGGTAATTTCATGTGTATAATAATTTAACATATATAGGACTTTAATTTTTCATATAAATCAAAAAAAATTGTATATAATTGTACTACAAATAAATGAGTTTAAAAAAATTTAGAAGTCCTTACAAAAGAATCCAAAATAAATTGAAAATCAAATAGGAGTAAAAAAAAAAAATAGATGAAAGTATATAGCTGGGTATAATTGACTCTATCATAATAATTAGGGATAAAATAGTAAATCAAAAGCTCTTCGCAAATGTTGACATTTATAAGTAATATAGATATAGATAGAGAAACAATTTTAAAACAACTCCTAAAATTTAAAAGTTGTTAATATTTAAATTTATTTTAATTAAATATAACTATTGAGAGTATTTTGAACAATAAAGATCAAATCAACTTATTTTTAAACCAATTTTCTTGACGAATTTATCACCAAATAAGTTCATGCACAAGAATCGGTCCCCAAATTTTCAAAAAGTGTATTCTAGTCCTATGTCACTCGTGGGCCGATCCTCTAACATTTACCCTCTTAGAACACATCTTAGTGGTTCATAGCCTTCCCAACACATCTTGGTGATCCATAGACTTTCCAACACATCTTGGTTGTTCATAGCTTCCTTGTGTATTATGTATGTGTCTTCTAACTTCTCTCCCGATCGCCTTGGTCATCTTATTTGTAACATCTCTCTTGAATAATTCAATTATATACGATACATGAATTCTCAAATAATTCAAACTATGTGACACAATGTAATTGGAAGAGAGAGAGAGAGGTCAATGGTAATAGAAAACCCTTTATGAACTATGACTAAAAATCAAAGGAAATGGGTTTCTAGGCCTGCCTGGTAAGGCCCAACCCCGATGGGCCAGTCTGTGCCCTTGAAATAAACACATTTCAACCCGACAAACTCAGTTTACACGGAAAGGTCTGAAACAATGGAGGACGAAGAAGAAGAACCACCTCTAGCAGTTGAGATCAACCAAATCATCGAATCACAGCCGTCCGATCAACGGCTTGAAAACACCGAAGCTTCACCGGTCGGCGTCACCGTCATCACAGGCTATCTCGGCGCCGGTAAATCCACTGTAAGTGCAAACCCATCCTCATCACTCTGAATATCTATTCTTATGCATGTATATGCGATTATGATTGGTACTTGGGTAAGGTTTGTGATTTGAATGTTGAATTTGATTTCAGCTGGTGAATTATATATTGAATGCCCAACATGGGAAGAGGATAGCTGTGATATTGAATGAGTTTGGTGAGGAGATTGGAGTGGAAAGAGCGATGATCAACGAAGGGGAAGGAGGTGCCCTCGTCGAAGAATGGGTTGAGCTGGCTAATGGGTGCATTTGTTGCACTGTCAAACATAGTCTGGTTCAAGCTTTGGAGCAGCTTGTTCAGAGAAAAGAAAGGTGAACGAATATGCTGTCAGAGTTTACGTTATTTTCTAAATCTATTGGATTTGCTCTCTTTTTTTCACTGGCCAAATGCAAATATAGTGTGCAATATGTGTGCTAGTGCGTGTTTTTGTTGAACTTTTATGGGTCTGGGTTTGCTACTTAAAATTTCGTGATTTGGGAGTCCTGAGAGAGAGAGAACTAATTGCTTCATCAGGTTAAGGTTTTCCATGACATCTCAATATGTATGTACATGCACATTGGTAAACACTCACAAATGCATATTAAAGACTCCCTTTTTTCCCCTCCTCCCTTAATTCATCCCACGAATAATATGTTGTGGAGCTGCTATCTTCCTTTAACTCCCTCCATTTTCTGCCGGGGGCTTAAGAAATAGGATAGGTTGACATGCATGTGGTTACTTGTTGTGGGTAATGTCGTCAATTTGCTTGTGTCATATTGAAATCAATACATGGTTTTTTTATATTGTTATTTCTAGGCTTGATCATATATTACTAGAGACCACAGGATTGGCAAACCCTGCTCCTCTGGCATCAGTGCTTTGGTTGGATGATCAGCTAGAATCAGATGTGAAGCTTGACTCTATTATAACTGTAAGTTTCACTATGTGATAGTTTTTCTGATTCTATAAGCCATTTGTACGCAAATATTGGATTCTTTGTTGTTCACATTTTGTTAGTGCTTCTACTTCATCTTGGGTGATGAATTTCTACTATGTGCCAGAACTACATAAAAGAATGAGATTCTAGTAGACTTTAATTCTTTGCTGTTTGTGATTGTCTTTATTTTGTTTATTATTTGTTATTAATGAGTTGTTATTTGTTTAACACTTCCTTTCTGTAATGGTTTTGCTTCTGGAACAGGTTGTAGATGCCAAAAACCTTCGTTACCAGCTAAAAAAGAATCATGACTCATCTTCATTCCCTGAAGCCTTTTTACAAATAGCATTTGCGGTAATATTCATGTATTTTGTTTTCCCATGATATTTTTATCGATGTTGTCTAATCAATTGTAAATCCAAAGCCATTTTTTTCTGGTGGTTTCTTTTCTTTTCTTTTCTTTTTTTTTTTTATCTATGCTATCATTGTTTGACTCCATATTCCTTTGGATCTTTTCACTGGATTCCTGAGTCTTGATAGTATGAGTACTTCAGAAGCTCATGCTTTTTGTTGCTTTGTTGAAGGATGTTGTAATTTTGAACAAGGTTGATCTGGTTTCTCCAGTTGAATCTGGAGGTGTTTTAGAGGAACTAGAGAACGAGATACACAGCATCAATTCCCTTGCAAATATTATTCGATCTGAACGGTGCCAAGTTGACTTGTCAAAGATCTTAAACTGCCAGGCCTATGATGCTTCAGTTAGTCATGCTTTGTTTTGTTTATCATCTGTAAGTGCATTTTGCATGTTATAATTACATTTGCTTAATCAGTACTTATATGTACTATCTTTTCTTTGTGATATCAGCATGCCACTCATTTGGAAGCACTGTTGGAAGAAAATAAATCTTTGACTTCTAAAGATCTTCATGATAGTGGTGTCAGAACCTTATGCATTAGTGAGCCACATCAGGTTGATCTTGGTAAGGTACTTCTCTTAAAGGGTTACTTCACTCAAAACCCACTTATTTTCTGAATTGTACGAGAGACAGAGAAAAACAGAAAGAGTCTGATCGCCAGCAGAAGGAGGTGGCAAACCCAGTCGCTGGCTAACATGGGAAGGGAGTATGGGGTGGCCTTTGGTCTTTTTGTTACTGGAGTTTTGATCATGTCACTTGTGGAGGAAAAAGGATTTTGTTCATGCCACACTGCAAAACAAGCTCATGTCTTACACTATCCATTAAGTTAATGGTAGTATTGTAGTCCAAACCATCCAAAGCCACAAGCCGGTGAAGTCGCTTGAAAAAAATTTTACCCAATTATATTTCTGGACTTTATTTTTTCACTGATGGTTGATCTCTTCTTCTAGTATATCAAATATATTAACCTCATGAACAAGACATCTGAAAGCTTTATGTGTTACACTTGATAAAATTTGTTGGTAGGTGATGTTTTTGAACACATATTTCAAGTAGATGGTGTTTGATGTCCCACCTCCCTCCCTTCCTTTCTCCCTCTTTATAAACAGGTTCGGATGTGGCTCGAGGAGATTCTTTGGGATAAGAAATATGGCATGGATGTTTATCGTTGCAAAGGAGTTTTGTGTGTCGTAAACTCAGATCAACTTCATACTCTACAGGTAATTGTCTTATATTTGGTAATTTTACCTGTGGTCCCTTGTTCTTTTACTTCTGTTTAGCTTAATAACTGGATTTATAATATGTTTTATGTAGTGGACCTCTTTTTTTGCCTTTGAAAGGCTTTTTCAAGGCATGCTGAATGGCGTAATTCACATAACTTTGGAAACTTTTTTATTAGTATTACAAGACAAGGCTATATTTACTTTGATGGTAACAGTTTTTAGAATTCTTTTGTCTCATTTGCTGAGCAATATGACATACAAAATGTACTTGGTTGCCCACAATATCAGCAACCCTCACTTACTTCTATTGCAGACGTGTTTGCACGTGCAATTTAGTTTAGTTAGTCAAATGTTTTGCTGTGCAAGAACCTGAGGATTTGTAAAACAATGTTTATACTAGATAAAGATAGTCTTGAAAATTTAGGGTCCTAGTTTTGGGGTCCTTTGGGGCACGTTATTATGCAATTATACTTCTTCAGGACAAACTCCAACAGCATACTTCTCCAAGTTCCATGGTATTCAAGTCTATTATTAGTGTTGTTGCTTTGTTTTATGGAGTAGCTAATTTGTGGTACGTACCGGGCCACCATTAAATCTTGGTTTTGAATGCTTGACAGGCTGTGAGGGAGATATATGAGATTGTTCCAGGACGCAAATGGAGAAAGGAAGAAAATCAAACGAACAAAATTGTATTCATAGGTAAAGATCATACCAACTTTCGAATATCAATGGAGTTCTCGATAAATCAGAACAAAAAAGAAATCATTCTTGACGAATAAATGGACCTTTCTTTTTTTGGTTTTTTATCTTGCTATTTGCAGGTCAGTCGCTAAATGAAGAAATCCTTATTGATACATTAAGAAACTGCACCGTGGCGATTTCTTAATTTTGGACTCTCTCATCTCTTGGTGTTGGAACTCCAAGATATGAAAGAATGAGCTGCTGCACTTCATGGTTGAAGCTGAGAAATATTCAAGTCCTTAGATTGGTTGCCATGCAGGCATTTTTCAATATAACGAGCTAAGAATTGTACTCATACATTTACTTTGGTTCTTCAAAGAATTCATTAGTTTGGTTTATATATTTTTTGATGTAGAGCCAAGGATCAAAATTTCAGTTCGGTTACCTAGGAAATCTAAATAGTTCGAAAATGTTTCGACTTGTTTCGAAAATAGAATGAAATCAAATAAAAACTTTGAGAATTATTTTTTCTAAAACATTGGTCGAAATATACTAACTCATATTGAAATACATTGAAATATTTTAAAATAATTGTGTAATGTGTCGAACCAACTCGAAACATGAAATATTTCAAAGTATTAGATTTTTGACTTTATCATTAATTTGTTTTAGTCACCTTGATAACAGAAACGTTTCGATTGTTTTGATAGTTTCGAAATAAAATTTTAATTCTCGTGTAAAACATATTTATCTTACCCTTGTTTACAGTCAAATTAAAGTCTTTAACAGAACCCCTTCTCCAAAATCCCACAGCAATTACTCCCAACCCAAATCCAACCTCGACTGACCCTCTCGGTATACAATCCCCCGCGAAATCCTCCAATCACCAATTAAAAATGCCCCACCTAAATAACTCCATTGCAATACGGACGGTGTTGTTTAATGGGGAGGGGAGAGAAATGCTCCCAACTTAACAAGATGGTTGGTTTAAATGATTAATGGGCTCTGATAAATTTTTTGAAAAATTATAAGGAAGTACACAAAATTAGAGTTATTTGTCAAAAAGTATATAGGACTTAATGTTAGGTCATTAAGTCTTATTTTTAAAAATTAATTGTGTTCTAGTACACAATTTAATTTTTTGTGATTTTCTTTTGACATATTTGTCTTCCTTTAAATCATGCATATTTCTTTTGACAGTTAATTAGATTTTTAATTTTGTTTTATTGTATTAAAGATTTTCTAATATAATGGAATAATTATATTATCACAAGATTTACATAACGTTGATTGTGTATATCTCAACCTTTTTGAATTTTAATTTTTTTTGTCATTATAATTGCCAATAAACTTCTTTATTTTTTTTCTTCTTTTCTAAATTATTAGTCATTAAAGTTCGAAAAAGCTCAAACCTATAATTCTTATTATTCTCTGATCAATACAAAAAGTTTTGAACATATCGTATTTCTTCTTCTACAACGATCATATATTATTAGGTTGAACTTATACTTTCTTTCATTTTTTTTTTATTTTGTTCTTGCAACAAATCATTAGTTATTTTTGGGAGTTTTTTTTCACAATCTTCCTATTCGTTTCTATTTATTGTGTTGAATGATCACTTTTTTTTGTTAACTTTTCATCTTTTAAATGATTATTTGTTAATTTTAATATTTTTAAGTTTAATGATTTTGTTTTACAGTTTTGTTTTTGAATATTAAACACTACAATAATTGCGATTTTTTGAGTTCTAAGTTGTGTTTTCTTCTGCTTTTATATGTTGTCTTCGTGGTAGTGTCTTCGGGACTAACAGATGCTATAAATTTGTTCAATTCATAATTATATTATGTACATAAAATTACTTTATAATTTGAATTCATATTAAATTATAATTTAAAAGTGTATCAATACAGTGTGACACTAAAAAATTTATGAAATTAAGTGTCTAATTTTTGTACATCCACGATCATAACAACAAATACATGTGATTTACCACAACAAAAAATCAACTATAATCGTTAATAAAAAAAAGTGTTTTAAGGATTATATGAGTAATAAAAACTACAATTTAAGAATTACACAAATTTAAAGTGTATCAATACATTGTAGCAAAATATTGTATGAATAATAGAAACTAAATTTTATAGTGTGACTTCGTAGTAACCAAATTAAATCTCATTACTGCCTCCTGTAGGAGTTTGGGTTGTGTCTCAGTCCTTGCGTGACTAATCTTCTTATCAGACTAGCTATTAATCATCACCTTGATAAATTATTACAACACCAACTAATTAATCAAACAGGAGGCTTAGGCAATAAAGCATTTCTCGGGGGGAGAGAATGATGTTCTACGATGGTGAACCCATGGTGATGGTTCTCATTTATTGACAGATTGTGTTTTATTTTTTTATTTTTTGTCCTTATTTTTTGACAAACAAGATAGTCTGTTATATAAATAAGTCCAAACTAAAAGCACTAATAATGTAATATCCAAAACTAAGAAGACCCTTCTTGAAAAATTATCAGAAACTCTAGGTACTTATCAAGTGGCTTAAAAACGACATGGTATTGCGGTNATTGTGTAATGTGTCGAACCAACTCGAAACATGAAATATTTCAAAGTATTAGATTTTTGACTTTATCATTAATTTGTTTTAGTCACCTTGATAACAGAAACGTTTCGATTGTTTTGATAGTTTCGAAATAAAATTTTAATTCTCGTGTAAAACATATTTATCTTACCCTTGTTTACAGTCAAATTAAAGTCTTTAACAGAACCCCTTCTCCAAAATCCCACAGCAATTACTCCCAACCCAAATCCAACCTCGACTGACCCTCTCGGTATACAATCCCCCGCGAAATCCTCCAATCACCAATTAAAAATGCCCCACCTAAATAACTCCATTGCAATACGGACGGTGTTGTTTAATGGCGAGGGGAGAGAAATGCTCCCAACTTAACAAGATGGTTGGTTTAAATGATTAATGGGCTCTGATAAATTTTTCGAAAAATTATAAGGAAGTATACAAAATTAGAGTTATTTGTCAAAAAGTATATAGGACTTAATGTTAGGTCATTAAGTCTTATTTTTAAAACTTAATTGTGTTCTAGTACACAATTTAATTTTTTGTGATTTTCTTTTGACATATTTGTCTTCCTTTAAATCATGCATATTTCTTTTGACAGTTAATTAGATTTTTAATTTTGTTTTATTGTATTAAAGATTTTCTAATATAATGGAATAATTATATTATCACAAGATTTACATATAACGTTGATTGTGTATATCTCAACCTTTTTGAATTTTAATTTTTTTTTGTCATTATAATTGCCAATAAACTTCTTTTATTTTTTTTCTTCTTTTCTAAATTATTAGTCATTAAAGTTCGAAAAAGCTCAAACCTATCATTCTTATTATTCTCTGATCAATACGAAAAATTTTAAACATATCGTATTTCTTCTTCTACAACGGTCATATATTATTAGGTTGAACTTATACTTTCTTTCATTTTTTTTTATTTTGTTCTTGCAACAAATCATTAGTTATTTTCGGGAGTTTTTTTTTCACAATCTTCCTATTCGTTTCTATTTATTGTGTTGAATGATCACTTTTTTTTGTTAACTTTTCATCTTTCAAATGATTATTTGTTAATTTTAATATTTTTAAGTTTAATGATTTTTTTTACAGTTTTGTTTTTGAATATTAAACACTACAATAATTGCGGTTTTTTGAGTTCTAAGTTGTGTTTTCTTCTGCTTTTATATGTTGTCTTCGTGGTAGTGTCTTCGGGACTAACAGACGCTATAAATTTGTTCAATTCATAATTATATTATGTACATAAAATTACTTTATAATTTGAATTCATATTAAATTATAATTTAAAAATATATCAATACAGTGTGACACTAAAAAGTNATAAAAATTATATATGATTTAGACCCATTGTTTAATTTTTTAGTTTTATTTTAATAGATAGTATAATTATATACTAATTACGTTTTTTTAAGAAAAATTTAAAATTTTATTTTTAATTTTATTTCAATAAATAATACAATAGAATATGAATTTTTATTGTAAAATAATATTTAANACTAAAAAGTTTATGAAATTAAGTGTCTAATTTTTGTACATCCACGATCATAACAACAAATACATGTGATTTACCACAACAAAAAATCAACTATAATCATTAATAAAAAAAAGTGTTTTAAGGATTATATGATTATAATATATTTACAAAAATTTAAAGTATATCAATATAATATAACAAAACAATATATGAGTAATAAAAACTACAATTTAAGAATTACACAAATTTAAAGTGTATCAATATATTATAGCAAAAAATTGTATAAATAATAGAAACTAAATTTCATAGTGTGACTTCGTAGTGACCAAATTAAATCTCATTACTGCCTCCCGTAGGAGTTTGGGTTGTGTCTCAGTCCTTGCGTGACTAATCTTCTTATCAGACTAGCTATTAATCATCACCTTGATAAATTATTACAACACCAACTAATTAATCAAACAGGAGGCTTAGGCAATAAAGCATTTCTCCGGGGGAGAGAATGATGTTCTACGATGGTGAACCCATGGTGATGGTTCTCATTTATTGACAGATTGTGTTTTATTTTTTTATTTTTTGTCCTTATTTTTTGACAAACAAGATAGTCTGTTATATAAATAAGCCCAAACTAGAAGCACTAATAATGTAGTATCCAAAACTAAGAAGACCCTTCTTGAAAAATTATCAGAAACTCTAGGTACTTATCAAGTGGCTTAAAAACGACGTGGTATTGCGATTGTACAAAACGCAAAAAATTGCGTTTTTTATATTTTGCCGCTTAGTCATTAGTTTCACCGCAGCTCCCCCAATTCTTTCTTGGGGGTGTTTGTTTCGCAGGATTAAGAGGGATTAAAGGGGGATTGGGTTAAAATTGTCTATGGAACCCACTTATTCTTGCTTTGGATATGTAAAATTGGGTGGAATTTTCGTTCGAATTGAAAAACTCGGCCGTAATTTTTGACCCCAAAATCCCCTCCAAGCCGGACTATTGAAACCCATGAAGGGTGTGTGTTGGGTAATAGGGTGGGATAGGGTATGTTTTCCTTTTTTATATTCTAATCAATCCAAGCCAAACTCACTCATCCACTTTAAAACCTTAATCAAGATTATATCCAATCCTAACATTTGTTTAGAAAATAAATGTATAATTTAGTAGGCCTCATAGATTACACAAATAATTTTGTAGTAATTTACCGTTCTACCTATGACTCTATTCATTCCAATCCAAATCAATCCTATCCTATCCTACATTTGGCTAACCCATCAAAGTCTAATAAAATTATAAATTTTTCACACATACATAAAAAACATATAAAAATAAGGAAAGTTATATATATATATATATATATTTTTTTTTCCAAACAAATCAACATTTTATTT